CATTTCTACTCTCTCTGAAAAGCAACGGAAAAAATATCCTCAGGTGAGGATTAAGAAAAAAATTTTTTTAAAAGAATAACTGGGAGTAGTGTTCTCATCTCATATCCAGATCTAAATGGAAGTAATTCTAGTATCTGCTTTTTCTAATGCATAGAGACAAGATAAAGTTAAAAACTTAGACTCTGGTGCCAGAGTAAATTATTATAAATCTGGTTCCTCCACTTACTAGCTTCATAACCCTTGCAAGTTATTTATCCTCTGTGTCTAGATTTTTCTATTTGTAAACCAGGAATTATAGTTATCTCCTAGGGCTGTTTTGAGGGTCAAGATGAAAGTATGTAAAACACTTGAAACAATGTAAACAATTTAAACCACAAAGCAAGCGCTATGTGAGTGTCAGTTACTATTAACAGAATGGCTTCAATCCTGAGAGGAACAAATGACTCATGGTGCTTTCAGGGGAAAAAAAAAAAAAAAAAGAGGACAAGTCATCTTTAAGCTTTTTGAAATGAAGAAGGGATATATATGTCATATATAGATGCTTTTCCCTACCACCTTTCCTTTTCCTGCTTCACCTTTGAATTCAAAGGTTCCTAACTGAGAAGGTATGGAGTCCTCTGTTTTAGGTAGAAGTTTTTGGCAATGGACTTTCCCACCATGTTTATATCATCCTCACCAGCTGCTACTTTTTTTCAGGCTGGACGGCAACTGGAAGCTGAGCAAGCTTACAAGTACACGATAAAGGTATGATGCAGATGCCTCTGCTGTTTGTCTGCACTGTACTGAGGTTAGGAAACTGGGAGGAAAGTACTGGCTTAATTCAGGACTTTATTGCCTTTCATGATGTGAATATTTTTCTACAGGCTCTTCTTACTATCTTTTCCATTATCATAGAGCTGCTGGGTTTGGAGTAACAACCCACATATTACCATAGGGGATCTTTTTTATACCTCTTAGAGAATATGGTTTAAGGGAAAGACAGATGGCCTGGGAGTCAGGAACTGACTTATGGTCCTAGTTGTGCCATTTAACATACTGTGTTAACCTCTCTGGGCCTCATTTTCCTCATGTGTAAAATGAAGGTGCTGGTCTGGTCTAGGGGTCAACAAATTTTTCCTGTAAATGACAAAATAGTAAATATTCTAGGCTTTGTGGGCCAAACAGTCTCTATTGCAACTACTACAATCTGACTTGTAGTAAAAAAGCAGCCATAGACAATTCACAAACAAATGAACATGGGTGTGTTTCAAAAACTTTACTTACAAAAACAGGCAGAGTGCTGGATTTGGCTCATTACAGTGGTTTGCCAAACCCTGGTCTATTCTATCAGTTACTAACTGTAAGTCACTTGAAAGACGGTAGCTTAAACAAATTTTGTTTTTCTCATCTAGTGAAGAATTCAGGGCTGGTACCACAGCTCCACAATGTAATCAGAGACTCAACCTCTTTCTAGCTTTCTGCTCCAGCAATCATAGCATACAGTTCCCATTCCTTAGAATTGAAAGACAGTCATTGTAGCTTCAGCTACTATATCCATGTTTCAGGAACAATAAAAAACAAATGGAGGGAAAGGACAAAGGGCTCATGCTAGTTATTTCACCTCCCTTTAATGAGCAATGATTTCAACTTGCATTTCATTGGCCACATCAGTCATAACTCTTCCTTTGCAAGGGAAGCAGGAAATATGGCTCTTTAGCTGGCTGCATTGCTGCCCTGAAAAGAAATGAAGGCTTTTTTTTTTAGAAAAGAAAGGAGATAGTGGGTATTCAGTAGACAACCACCTGTCTCTGCTAAACATCTGGATTCCAAAATTAAATTCCGATCTAATGTCTTTGATTCCTTTCTGTCACTTGCCAAATAGGGATAGTATACATTAGTCAAGATATAGTGGGTGATAATGTGAATCTTTTAAAAATAAACTTTATTAAAGTTCTTTTACAAAGAATACACAAACTGTGAATGTTCATACCACTTGATGAATTTTCATAAAGTGAAACTATCCATGTAACCAGCACAATGTTCTGAGGTTTTTTTAATGGAGTTACCATGAAATAGGGAATATAGCCATTTCCATCCGAAGGAACTATGTTCTTTATCCAGGGCTCCAGAAATGAGGAGTCTCCACATAAGTATATCAGATATGACATGTGTCCCCTTCCTTCCTCTTTTGCAGCTAAAATTGAAAGATGAGATTCTGCTTGCAGAAATACACATGTTACAGGAGACTGTTGGCTTTGGAAATCCATCTTTCTGACATTCTTACAACTGAAGAATTTTCTGTATGGAACTTTGAGCGCTTTTCCTTCCCAGATAAATTAAACCCTGGATGCCTCACCATATGAAACCTGGGGATAGAGAACAAAAAAATCTGCCACAAACAAACCTATTCATTTATTTCCATTGGCTGTCTTACTGGGTATGAAATGTTACTGGTTGTTATTACTTGTTGACAGTAAACTGGATGACAATAAAAAATGAAAATGAGATTCAAAATCCATCAGTGTGGTTCTGGAGTTAAAGTACATCTAAGAATATAATTATATATAAATTAAAGTACAGTGGGTTCATTATTGGGGTTTCTGGTGAATGCTAATCAGGATCACTTCTGCACAGAGTCAACTGCTAAGATCCCTGGCCAGGTTTACTTACTGGAACTTGGGAATTAAGGCATCATTTTCTAAGATGGAATTAAAAGGAAAAAGCTATACTGGATCACTGTATTAGGGCAAAGAGCATATTGGTTGTGGCCAGGACCTCTGGATCCAACGGTGAACAGATATGCTAAACAGAGGTCTTTGCTGAAGGTGGAGGTACTGACTCCCTCTTGCCACCAGTATCTTTTTGGATCTAAAGCACAAGGGCTCCATAAAGAGCCCATTACCCTCTCATCGATGCAAAACTCACAACTGAAGTCATTATTCTAGGGCTAAAGATGACAAAGGAACCATACTTCACCCCTGTTCTCCTGGATCACAGCACAGCGAAACCAGGAATAAAGCCCCTCCCCCCTTTATTTGTTAGAGACGGTCAGAGAACTGGAGGGAAGCTGAGAGGCATATTAGTAAACACAGAAAGATAAGCCCTATATTCATTTATAGGTCTTTTCTAGTCTGGCGTCACCTCACCGGCTCCCCACGAGACTGTGAGCTTCCAGTGGGAAGGACTAGCGCCCTTTATCTTGGCGGTGGCAGGACCGCTCCGGGCGCGAACAGGGACTCAGCCGTGAGGGAGGGCTGGCGGAGCACTGTGGCGCTTCCCTCAGCCGCTCCGGGGACGCTCGCAGTCCTCGTCACTCCACCCGGGCTCACAGGTCAGCACGGGCCGCGAGTGCCCACGAGCCGAGGCTCACGCTGCCACCCTGCGACCCGCGACCCGCAGCGCGCCCTTTTGCCGCGCGTGGAGCCCGGCGCCTCAGCGTCCACCGTGTTGCATTGTGGGAAATGTAGGAGCGGAAAGGGCTGGGCGAGCGGACAGTTCGCTTCCGGCGCCCGGAGCCCGGCGGTGTCCCTGCGTTGACCCTGCCCGTCCTCCCTCCGCCCCGCCAGAGGCGGTAGAGCCGATCCTCGCGGGCGGCGGGAGGCTCCGAGGAGGCGCTGGTGGCGCCCCGGCCTCGGTGCGCGCCGGCTGCAACATGGTTCGGCTCAGTGAGTGACGGGGCCCCGGGAGAC